TGACTGAAACGTGTCCATGCTATAAACGATCGTATATAACTGAGCAAGGATCAGCATTTCAAATTGAAATAGGACTTCTTGAATGTAGATGTCAGCTTCTAATCGTCTGTTATGTTCTTCACAATATGATACGGGTGTTATCTTCCAACATTTTAAAAACCTTTCGAACAAATAGCTGCGATATTTGCGTGTCAGCTGAAATAAGAGATGAATAATGTTATAACACTAAACAAATACAATTCACATGAAAGTTTTTACATTCTACATACATATTGATTATTTTTGATAAGTGACAGTAATAGAATTTATCTGACAGTGGACTCAACTGAACTGGAAAGTTTTATGGATTATAATTATTGTTTGTGCAGTTCAAATATATCAATTAGAGAAATTTTAATGAATTTATTTTGTAAAAATGTTGACGTGTTTATAATATCGTTTTATATGAACTCCTAATTGCAATGTTGCAAATCTTTCACGTCATCGGCTGTTGCAAAACGAAATTTATATATGTTAATGATGACGGGAGAGAAGTACAAAACTGTTGTCATCGTTACCAAACCATTTGCAAGCACATGGCAAATCCAGTGTTTTTTCAAAATGTGCTTGATCTTGATGTCTTCTTGGCAAATCAGAATTCTTGTTGAAAGACAAACAAATATAAACTCCATTAAAAGACCAACAAATAATCGAAGCAAACTTGATCCATCAAAAGAATATGACTGAAACGTGTCCATGCTAAAAACCATCGTATATAACTGAGCAAGGATCAGCATTTCAAATTGTAATAGGACTTCTTGAATGTAGATGTCAGCTTCTAATCGTCTGTTATGTTCTTCACAATATGATACGGGTGTTATTTTCCCCCAATCTAAAATCTTTTTGAACAAATCTCTCTGCGAAATTGCGTGTCAGCTGAAATAAGAGATAAATAATGTCATAACACAAAACAAATACAATGTATTCACATGAAAGTTTTTACATTCTATATACATATTGATTATTTTTGATAAGTGACAGTATTAGAATTTATATAACAGTTGGCATGGTTATTACTCCAGGTACCCGTTGGTTATACGGAATTTTGAATTCGCCTCTGTTTTTTATTTTTCTTCGGCGTCGTAAATTGGCAATTCCGCAGTAGCCCAGTCGTTGCCTCTAACAAATATCCACCTCAGCTATTCAGTATTGCTAAATTGCTATATTATTAAGTGTGACTTATCAAAATTTTGGCAACAATACACCAAAGTTTTTAAAGTTTTCGATTATGTTTCATCAGAATGATTACGGACTACGATAAGAACCCAAGACACGTATAAAAAATTGATATAATCAATATAGAAAAATTAAAAAATTTTATTTCAAATTTTTTTATCAAATTTTATATTAAATTGATACAATCAATTGCTACAGGGTGAAAAATTCTCAAATACCAGCTTAATGAGCGTCGTCAAAGTAAAGTAAGTCAAGCTTCAAGCTCAATTCCACTTTGCAAGCTATGTGGAAAACAAATGTCACTAACATTTACGTGACTTTATTTATGTTGAAGAGTCTGAAATTGTGCCTTGTTATGCGAACATTTATCTTCACATGTTTGTAGATACATGTTAATCGTCCAGAAATGCGGTGTTGGTGCTACATTTATAACACTCCCTATCGTCTCACTCCTTATAAGCAGAAGCAAGAAAATTCATTTGGCTCAAGTAAATGCTTACGAAGTTTGTTATTGAGAATAGAACGCTAAAAAACATAGAAATGGATACCTTATCCCCATTTATAATTGTTAATTATAAACTTTGTTCAATTCGACTTTGGCATGATATCAACTTTAAGAACTAGTCTTAATAGAAATAAAACTGACCAGTGGCGTAACTGTACATTTCTAGAGGAGGTGGGGGGTGGGGGGGTGGCTGCGAAGTCTAAAATTTTCCAACAAACAAGCGAGTTCACTATAGCAAACGAGCGTGGCCACAATTCATTTTGCAAGCAAAAGTGGTAATTGTCTTATAAGTTTTATTGTAGCGTATGTATTTTAATCGTTTATTTACAAATTATCATGAAATCCATGGAAATATCGTAACTATAACTCCAAAATTATGTTTTTTGTTTATTCTGCGTTTAAAAAAAAACAAAGCGGAGGCAGTTGTAACTAAAAACCTTCGGTATTACAATTGTCACTTATTGGTTAAACAGTTTTTTGCATGTCCTTTCATTTAAAAATGGTTTTTCAAGCTCCTTCAGTGCAATAGACGAAACATGATCACGATTGATGGCGATACATGCAAGGTTGGATACTTGATTTTCCATCATTGTGCTACGCAAAAAGGTTTTTGACACGTTTTAAACAGCTGAATGACCTTTCTTCGTGTGCGAAAAAAAAGGCAATGTTAAAATAAGTCTTAGCAACGTTGTGATGCTTCGAAATTGAACTGTTAATTTATTCTGCATTAAAAAAGATAAAAGATCTCCCTATCACGTGGAACTGCTCGTGCTCATCAGACTCCTTTTAATCTTTTTTTTTTTAAAACAAAAGCCCTAGAAAAACAATTTCTAGTTAGGGTAAGGGGTAGTGTTAGAGTTTGGTTCAGACTTTAAAAGTTAAAGTATTTTACTGCCGAGCATTTAGTATATTGAATTTCCTTCCGTATATTTATTTATTACTGAACACTTTCATCATTTGTGAGTACTGTTCTATTTACACTACTAGCTGCATGTTAATAAGACGTAAAACGTGAAAAGTAAGCACATTAACGTAACTATATATTGAGAAATGCATAACTTCCGAAATGTGTCACAGTCTGACAGTAAATCTGGTCTGATTTCTGCAATCTTCATACACATGACATTAAAATCAGTAATTTTGGGGTGCTTTCATTAATAATGACCATTTAAAATTCCGACAACCATCCAAAATTTTCTAACAGACATACATCCAAGCGTGTCTTTAGTCGGCTACTGCCCCCCACCCTCCTTTAGTTGCGCCACTGATACTGAGTAATGTCTGAATAGTTTCATATCATTCTCAAACTCATACAATAATTGTTAATTAAAAGTAGCTTTTGTAACATAACCTGATAGGTTGAGGAGAGAGTTGCCTTTAACAAAAGTAATGAATTTTATCATTGAGCTTTTTAAACGAGCTGCACTTTTTACATCCAAGGTTTTTCTTCCTCTCAAAATCAATAAAATCACTTTCCTTTTCTCATCGCAAGCAAAGCAATACTGTAGGTAAACATCATGAAAATAGCATTTTGTACTCACCTTTGTAACATTATCGATAAGTCCTTGTAAAAAAGAAAACAGTATAAAGTACCCTAAATGTTTTAGAGTACTTCATGACACGATAAAGAGCAATGGGTACCACGTGATTAAAATACACCAAAATATATGATCGTGAAGGATTAACCTTGATGATATTTTTAAGAGGAACAAGCACTATGTATTAACTTATGGCCACTGGAATAGTTGCTATTAAAGAAATTATGGCAGCGTCCAAGATCTTTAAAAAGTCACTTGACTGATAATTAAACCAGGGGACGAGAACTAATCGATAAACATTAGCGAACAGGGCAGCAAAACAAAAAATCAGTCAAATTGTTAACAACATTTTATTCCAAAAATTCCGAATTGTATTAACTTCTGACGTTGCCTGATATGATGCAATACGACAAATACTAATGATGATGCAATTGACATTATACCAGTTGAAATTGATCTTTTCCACCATCCAGTAATATCACCATCAAAGATTATGTACAAGCATACCTTGTAAATCACAGCAACAATAATCGTGATAACACAAATAACAAGATTGCTTATGTGAATGTTTTTAGCTTTTTCCCATCCCAACAGCAACAGCATAGTGAAAGGGTACCATAAATTAAGGAAGAACACTATGTATGATTCTCCTCCTAATCGTGCTAGAAAAGCAGAAGTTGGTGTGGAATAATTGGTTAAAAGTTGTTCAGTACCCACACATCGGTCGGTTGTAAGCTGGTCCAAATAAACAGTTTTTGTCCACAAATCACAGTGATTAAAACGGCAAAGGCGAGTAAACAACTAGTTGATTCAACAGATATGCATAACATTGAACATATTTTAAATTTTGATGATGCGTTTTCATCATTGGAATTTGATGTGGTGTTATCGTCGTTGGAATCAGATATACGATTCCCTATATTGGAGTTTGATGGAGTGTTATCGTCGTTAGAATCAGATGTAGCTTACCCTTTTTTTGAGTTTGATGGAGTGCTATCGTCGTTACAATCAGATGTAACATACCATTTATTGGAGTTTGATGGGGTGTTACCGTCGTTAGAATCAGATGTAGCATACCCTATATTGGAGATTGATGGAGTGTTATCGTCGTTAGAATCAGATGTAGCATACCCTTTATTGGAGTTTGATGGAGTGTTGTCGTCGTTAGAATCAGATGCAGTATACCTTTTATTGGAGTTTGAGGGGTGTTATCGTCGTTAGAATCAGATGTATCATACCCTTTAGTGGAGTTTGATGGAGTGTTATCGTCGTTAGAATCAGATGCAGTATACCCTTTATTGGAGTTTGATGGGGTGTTATCGTCGTTAGAATCAGATATACGATTCTCTATATAGGTTTGATGGAGTATAATCGTCGTTGGAGTCAGATATACGATTCCCTATATTGGAGTTTGATGGAGTGTTATCGTCGTTAGAATCAGATGTAGCTTACCCTTTTTTTGAGTTTGATGGAGTGCTATCGTCGTTAGAATCAGATGTAACATACCCTTTATTGGAGTTTGATGGGGTGTTACCGTCGTTAGAATCAGATGTAGCATACCCTATATTGGAGATTGATGGAGTGTTATCGTCGTTAGAATCAGATGTAGCATACCCTTTATTGGAGTTTGATGGAGTGTTGTCGTCGTTAGAATCAGATGCAGCATACCTTTTATTGGAGTTTGAGGGTGTTATCGTCGTTAGAATCAGATGTATCATACCCTTTAGTGGAGTTTGATGGAGTGTTATCGTCGTTAGAATCAGATGCAGTATACCCTTTATTGGAGTTTGATGGGGTGTTTTCGTCGTTAGAATCAGATATACGATTCCCTATATAGGTTTGATGGAGTATAATCGTCGTTAGAATGAGATGTATCATACCCTTTATTGGAGTTTGATGGAGTGTTATCATCGTTAGAATCAGATGTAGCATACCCTTTATTGGAGTTTGATGGATTGTTATCGTCGTTAGAATCAGATGTATCATACCCTTTAGTGGAGTTTGATGGAGTGTTATCGTCGTTAGAATCAGATGTAGCATACCCTTTATTGGAGTTTGATGGAGTGTTATCGTCGTTAGAATCAGATGTAGCATACCCTTTATTGGAGTTTAAAGGAGTGTTATCGTCATTAGAATCAGATGTATCATACCCTTTAGTGGAGTTTGATGGAGTGTTATCATCGTTAGAATCAGATGTAGCATACCCTTTATTGGAGTTTGATGGAGTGTTATCGTCGTTAGAATCAGATGTAGCATACCCTTTATTGGAGTTTGATGGATTGTTATCGTCGTTAGAATCAGATATACGATTCCCTATATAAGTTTGATGGAGTATAATCGTCGTTAGAACCAGATGTATCATACCCTTTTTTGTAGTTTGATGGAGTGTTATCATCGTTAGAATCAGATGTAGCATACCCATTATTGGAATTTGATGTAGTGCTCGTGTTTTCATCATCTTGTGAGGAAATCTGCTTATCACACTTACAATAAACACAACAATCAGCTATCCAAGAAAATAAAGGCAGGACACAAGAGTGTATTAGCTGCTCCAATGTCATTTTGTTTGTGAAGTTATCGAAGTTATGTTATATGACATGTGCCCTTGAAGCAGTAATTATGTGATCTAGGGTTACGCAAATTAAACCATAACCTCCAATTTAAATTTTAAATTACCTTTCATGACAATTAAATTAGTTTCAAAATATGTCTTACTAATCGATGGGCGGTAAAAGATCGATTGTTGGATTCACGTAACTTTGAATCGAATCTTTATAATCAAATCCAGCTGTATAATCAAATCCAGTTATTAATGTTGGATATTATATCAGCCTGATGGCGTTGTTTTTAACCTTTAATATCAAATAAAATCTAGACATTTTTCATGATAATTAATAGAAGATTCCTTTCATTTTTTAATGCTTTGCGATGCTGTGTAATGTATTCTATATTTAATAACTGTGCAGTTACCTGCTGGCAGAAATAAACCGAATTATTGGATCATCAGTCATCGGTGCATTCTTTCATGTCAGCAGAAATGCCAATTATTGTTTCATTTATAATCGTTGTCAACTTACCTTTAATTGTGAACTTTACATGCTTATAGACAAGTTTTCTTCTGACAACAACGAATATATTTCACCGTTTCAAAAACCTTCATTTTAGGTTTTTGAGTTGCCTTTCTTACATTCTAATATTTCGTAGGAATTTGCTGTGGTGTTTGCTTAGTTGGAGTTCCATGTAGCGTTCTCATTCTTGTCGCTGGAAATCAATAAAGATTTGACAGTTCTGCAGAGTCAATGCTGTTTTAAATTAATGCAGTTAACGTTTTTTTTTATTTCAACATCTTGTGAGGAACTATTATCTTATTAACAATCACAAGAAAAGCAAAATTCAAAAAGAAAAGAACGAAAGATAATGCACACTTTCCTTATCATTTTGGCATGCTATGGAATTTTTAGCGAATTAGTTAAACTCCAGTTGTTATATACTGTTCATTTTCGCGTCAATATATAACGATTTAAGGCGTTTCTATTAAGCAATTTCAATAAAATTTATTTTAGCTTTGGCGCTATGCGATATTCTGTAATTGAATTTGTATTTAGCATTTTCTAGAATCACCTGCTGGTAAGAAAAAAGTTATTATTGGGTTGAAAATAGGTCATCTGTGAATTTTTTCACAAGCAATTAAGCCAATATTCAACTTTTAATCTTTAATTGTCATCAGTATGTATACTCAGACAACTTTTGTGTAGAAATTATCAAAAATATTTAACATCTTGAAAAAACATTGAAGATATACGTCTAGGCAATGTTACGTGTTCACTAAATTTGAAATGGCTCAGAGATAAGCTTTTAAGACAGGCGATTTAAAATCGGGAATGTCGTTAGATGTTTGTAAATGTAAAGGGTTCAGATTATAGCAGAGTTCTGAGAAGAAGAACAATCGAACATCTGTTGAATGACGTATCAACAGCCTTAGCGGTAGTCCTGTAGTCATCAATATATTTTTGGTGATACACGTTTACAGTACATAAAAAATGCGTGCATCATGTGTGTATCGTGTGCAAAGTTCCTTGCCAGTTAAAAAACTGGTTTAAAGTCAAAAATTAACCCTTGACAAAAAAAACCCATTCTATCAGCTAGTCAAAGTTCGCTTTGTTAGCATGCTTAGCTGAGTAAATTCCCCAATAGCTATGTATTTAAAATAGATCCGCTTCAAAATCATCTATTACAAGCGAAGGCCTGTTATTGCTAAAAAAAATGATAAGTTTAAGAGGACAACTATTGTGAAGTTAAACTTTAGCTATTTTTACGTATATAGTTTAATATAAAAAAAATATATTAAATGCTGATGATAGTCAATATCAAAATATTCACTCGAAGTAGGAATTCGCAAGTGAATTTTAAATTGAAATCACAAATGTGGTATACATATATATATATATATATATAAGTTTGAAAATTTGTAATCCAGGCATTGAATGTATAAAAGATAAAAGTTTCTCCGGATTTTTTTAATGATTTTTATTCACCAAATTTCCCTCACATGGCTTTGATCAACCCGGGCTAGGTTTACAAACACATTGCCAAATGTGCCACGAGCCGGGATTGAGCCCCCGCTGTCTGAATTACAGCTCACGCAATTAACCATTCACGCGTGGGGTGGGATGATTTGGCAAATGTGTCTGTTAACCTAGCCCGGGTTGGCCAAAGCCATGTGAGGGAAATTTGGTGAATAAAAATCATTTAAAAAAAAATCCGGAGAAACTTTTATCTTTTATATATATATATAATTGAAAATAAAAAAAACCACGAATTACTTCATCGAAATTTATTCACTACAGAGCTGTTTCGTATGGCAGTTGTTTAACTTGCCACACTCGTCAGGAGAATAAATATAGCACTATAGCACAACGGAACTTATACACTAAGATGAATAATTAAGTGTTTAGGTGATATAGTATTACATTAATGACGTTAGTAAGTGTTTATTACGATGGCGGCATGCGGAAATGAGCTCGTTTCGTTTATTGAGCGAGCTGAGTTCTGGGTGGAAGATGATGAAGAATTTCTCCGAGAGGCATAAATTACAGCGTTTAGTTTTGCTTGAGTAAGGTTGTGATTTCTTTACAATTTTCCAGTTGAAGGTGTATGGCGTGTTAGAGTCTTTTAGTTTCTATATGTGTTTGCTAAGTTCTGTGGAGTGTTGTTTTGATTTATTTCGGAATGAGCTGGTGTGGTTCAAGTAGCGTGTTTTAAAAGTATTCTCCGTTAGACCGATGTAGGTTTCTTTGTATTTGGTTAGTGTGTTGATGACTGTGGCTTGGTAGACTACCCCTTTGGTTTGGCATTCTCCTTTTAGTGGGCATTCCTCTTTTTTCCGGCAGTTGCATTTTCTGTCTGTGGTGGCGTTTATCATCGTTTCTTCTTTGGTTAAAACGGTCTTATTGTGTGTAGAAATTATCATATCGATGTTTGGCAGGCAACTGTAACTTAGCTTAAGTGTGTTTCGGTTGAAGATTTTGCTGAGTGGATGGTTTTTTGGAAAGGACCTGTTGATTATACTAAGGAACTTGTGTCCGATGTCTGTGTGGACATTGGAGTTGTATGGTGGGTTGTACCAGGTGATGTTTCTATTTCTGTTTCTGTTTTTTGACTTTCGTGTGGTTTGTGGGCTGTATTGTAATTTGTAGTTAAAGCCGCTTTTTGTTAGTGCTTCTTGGTATGGGACCCAGGGGCGGATTGAAACTACGTCCCATTCAGCACGCGACGTAGTTAAATTCTTCACAGCAGCGGAAAAAATTAATCAAATTTTAAATGTCCCTAGTTCAAAATAAAAACAATTTGCTCGTGTGGAATGTAGTCCGTTTTTTCGAAAGGACCGAGAGCATTTTTCTATTCGTCTTTTGCAGGTTCGAATCTCGTCTAGGTATGGTGTACTTTGTTTCGTTGTGTGAATAATGATCATGAATTCTTTATCCGAAAATTAATTAAATTTTTTGTATCCTCACAACGAAAGCATTAGAAAAACAAACATATTGTCAGGGTTAGGAATAGTATTATGAGAAAATTGTGCAACAACGTGCATTCACTGAGCAATGTTATTGTTTCCAGGACCTGGATTAAGCATTGGATTAAGGGATCAAGTGGCTAAAAATACTTATATTTCACTTGCGGGAGAAATACCCATAGGTAACCCGCACAGAGTCAGCACGCCTTAAATTGTGCTGAATTTGGAGACTAAAATCTGTCTCTTGATTGGTTTATTGCCGTTGTGCTGACTAAAGCCTGTTTTCCACTAGCCACGTATCGTAACGTATCGTAGCAAAACGTAACGTATCGTAGCAAGTACAGATACGTTGAACGTTTTCCATTATTCGGCACAACGCGTAATACTATTTTCCCGCCAAAGTTCAAAAACAATACAAATATTATTGTTATGGGTACTCTCAGCAAAAAAACTCGCTTGCTTTTACTTTTAAGTAGACGAATGAAGAAAGATAAATATAAAAAATCATATTGAATTCGAAAGCTTTATCAAGAAAGAAAAACTAAAGGAGAATTTTATCTTTTGGTGCAGGATTTACGTTTGTTCGATGATGAATTATTTTTCAGGTATTTTCGAATGAACGCTTCCAAATTTGAGGAATTATTATTTATGGTCGCCCCCAAAATAAAAAAAACTGCGTGTCTAGAGATTGCATTGGACCAACTGAGATGCTTTGCGTGACGATGAGATATTTAGCAACCGGAGACTGTCACACAACCATAGCTATGAACTATCGAATGGGTCCAACAACAGTGGGAAGAATCATTTTCAAAACTTGCAGAGCACTGTGGATTGTTCTTGCAAAATTTATAAAGCCACCTACAACTGAGTCCGAATGGATTAAATTGGCTAAAGAATTTGAAATAAAATGGAACTTCCCCCACTGCCTTGGAGCGTTGGACGGAAAGCATGTTGTCATGCAGGCCCCTGCAAATTCCGGTTCAATGTTTTTTAACTACAAAAAAAATCATTCAATTGTGTTAATGGCCATTTAACGCCAACTACGAATTCACTCTGGTCGACATAGGTGACGCTGGAAGAAATAGCGATGGTGGTATATTTTCTTACAGCAAAATTAGAGAAGCTGTGAAAAACAACAGTTTGAATTTTCCATGTGAAAAATCATTGCCTGGTTTCCAGGAAGAATGCCCTTATGTTATGGTAGCAGACGAGGCTTTTTAACTGCAACATCACATAATGAAACCCTACCAAAGAGAAGTTCTAGGTATTCCAGAAAGGGTGTTCAATTACAGGTTGTCACGAGCAAGACGGACAATAGAAAATGCCTTTGGGATCCTAGCTGCACGCTTCAGGATTTTTCGACGTCCAATACATGCTAGAGTCGAAATGGTTGTCAGGATAACCCAAGCTGCAGTGGTCCTTCATAATTATCTCATGAGGGAAGGTGCATGCTCTCATGGAGAGAGTTATTTTCGCATGGAACTAATTGACAAAAGTACAAAACATGGCACACAACCAGGGCGGTGGAGAGAAATAACGCAAGGCGACAAAGGCTTGCAATCAATTAATAGAGATGGATCAAACAACTACTCTCGTAATGCCAAAAATGTTAGAGAAGCTTTCAAAAAGTATTTTATGTCAAACGAGGGGCAAGTTATATGGCAGTGGGAATCTGTTCATGCTACTGAAAATTGTTTTGACAAAAATAACTAATAAGGCAGACTTATTATTAAACATGTTCGAACAAATCAATATATTATAAGACAGAAACAAAAACTTAAAATAACTTGTTACAACAAACTTTAAATAAAAAAGCAAATTGAATGTTCTGTA